CTGGGGGCTCTTGAGCTCCTCTGTGCTGAGCAGCTGCTGAGCCGGGACTGGGCTCGGGGCTGGGCAAGTTCTGGGGAGGCCATTTCTGTGCTAGAGGCTCCCRGGGCAGCCAGAGAGACCTGTGTGTGACGAGGCTGTGATGTCATGTCTTTCTGCGTGTCTGATAGGCCGGCAGCAGGCAGTGGGYGTGGGCGTTGGCTGTGAGGTGTGTGTTGKGAGAGGAGCTGCTGGGGCAGCAGTGGTTCSTGTGTGGGGAAGGGGAAGGGCTTTGGAGGCAGCTGCTGTGTCTGAAGGCCATGGAGCAGCATGAGGGCTGTGGTGSGGTTGGCACATGGGAGGTCACCTCCATGGGAGCAGCTGATGGGTCAGGAGAAGTCCCSTGTGCCTGTTGCAAGGCCTTGGAGGAGTGTGAGGGAATGGAAGGGATGGAGAATTGGGCTTGCTGTGGTTTGTGGCCCTTTGGGGTGTCCTATCTGCTGCCATGTGTGGTGCTCAGCCCAGTGTTTCCTTGATGCAGAGGCAGGTGTAGGCTGAGGAGCCTCTGTTTAGGTGTGGAGGTTGTGGCGTGCTCTTGTGCAGGGTGTGCGCAGTGTATTGGTGCTCGGAAGGGAGGAGGTGTGTGGAGAGAGCAGAGCTCTGCTCCCAGAGCCCAGCCTGCCAGCCAGGGTCCTTGTGGGAGACCTGAGGGAGGACTTTTGTTCTCTCCTTGGAGCATCCTGGTGTGACCCAGGGGTTATGGCTGTTGGGTCGTTTATATCAGCTGATGTTCAAGCTTGCAGCTTATGAAGGTCCTGAATCTTAGCGATGTTAGTCACTCAGGTGGAGTAYTTTWTCTTAYGCTTTAAAGGTTTTCTGCTGATGCTGGATTCTCATTGCATCTTCCCATTCTAGAGCCTAATTCATTGTGATTCTTCATGCAAATGGGTAGTTAATCAAAGCATTCAGAGCCATGTCTCCACTTTTTTGACTACACAGACACTTGCAGACATGGAAATKCCTCCTCCCAAGAAGTGAGGCTTCTCAGGGTGATGGGTGGCTCTGAAATACCTGTCCTTGGTCACTGGTGGAGATGGTAGCTCTGGATCTACACGTCCCTTTCAAAAGTGTCTCAGAATAGAAGATTCCTTGAGCCTGCTTTCAGAAGCCTTCTGGAGGTCAGGATTGAACACTCTGCTGAAGGCAGGTCCCAGTAGAGGTGCTGTCTTTGGGCCTTTTCCAGTGAAGTTTAGATTATCTGTGAGAATAGGAGGAGGTCAGAGAACCTCTCTGGGTTGCTGTGCCATAATATGATCTCCCTCATGTTTTTGGATGTGTAAGAGCAGTCAGCCCAATCTTCATACTGTACACAACTCCCTTGTGGAGGCCTAAGAGCAGGTGGATTTTCTTGGAGAGGCACATGAATGGCGTGCAAGGAAGCAGTGAGTGAAGRGAAAAAAAACAGGAAAAAAAAAAGAGAAAGAGAATAGGAAATTCTTCTTAGATGTYGAGAACCACTCTTTCCCTCCATGGGTATGTCCAAGTTCTGGCACAGGAATCCAGAGTGATTCTCACATCTCCATCCTTAAAGATAATCGAAAGTTCACTGGAAAGGGTCACAAGATTCCTCCTCTGCTGGTGTCTGCCTTCATCAGGGCATTGGATTTCCTACTGCTGTCTCAAGAAATCTACTCTTCAGAATCAGGCTCTGAAATAYATTTGCCTTTAAAAGTCCTCAGCGAAGTTTCATGGGCTTTGGTAGGATAGAGAGGTTATGTCAGAGAAGAACAAACATAYATCGTTACATACATACAGTCCTTAAGACATGCCTTCCTTCCAGAGGGCTTGAGATTGAACATTGGTTCCTGCTAGGCTTCAAAACCATGGGTTAAGCCAGGTAGCAAATCTGGGGGAAGTTCTCCCAGATCCCATGAATTTTGCTAGCTTTACGTCGATTGTCTGTGAGGAAAGCCACTTCTTGTCTTGGACCTTATTTAGTCCCTGGGCTTTTCCATGACACCTCCAGGCAGTGTTTTCCCCTGGGCATCATTCCTAGCCCCTGCCTGTCTTTGGGATCTGTAGAGCCCTGGCACCCTGGGTCTCCCACACTTCTGACACTTGGTGTCTCGGGACAGGTCCACGCAGTGCAGCACTGCTGTCCAGGCTCCCATATGGAGCCTGTAAGGAACTGACTTGCCTCCAGAGCTGCACTTCACCTTATTCTGAAGTTGGTGACCATGTCCTGTATTTTTCTGGGACAAATCTTGAGGAAGGCAAACCCCATTCCTATTGAATCTTGTCAAAACTGTGCCTTTCCAAGCCACTGCAAAGGGASGCAMGTCCTTCCTCCTTTCTTTGGGTTGMTTATTCAGCCTCTAGCAACGTGTCTGTTGCACAGGGAGGCCTATTCTGCACCCTAGAGTCTCTCCCCTTTTTCTCCTCTGTCTTCTCCATGTCCCCTTAGTCTCCTGTATACACTAGACTCATGGGAAGTATTGGTTTAGGGAGCTCCCTTGAAGCCCTGACAAGTTGTGGAGCTGAAGGCCTGATGGAGGAAGTCTGGGACGTGGCTGTCCCCTCCTGCTCCTAGCCAGAAGGTTCAGGAAGGTCCAGTGCATTTGGTGTTGGTGTGCTGGGTTTCCTTTGACATCCCCAAGTCGTGCTTGGGTTCCTTGGAGCATCCAGGAAAATCCCTTCTCTCCAGGGTCTTGCATTACTGTTTTTTCCCAACTTTTGTAGAGAGGCACAGGCAGGTCTGTGATCTCCAAAAGCAGCATGGCCCACATCATTACCCAGGGCCTGCATGAGTTGTATGGCTCTCCCATTCCCAGAACTCCTGCTTAAATCGACAATTTCTAAGAGCATCCCTACAGCACAGGAGTTGGCCATTGTGAAACTGCAATATTGGGACTCCACCTGTCACTATTTTTTTTCACTCAGACACTCAGCTGTGGGTTTGCATTTCAGAGATTTTAAAGGTTTGCCTACACTCAAAGAGCATAATTAGTATTTATGAAATTATTTCATGCTTCATTGCTGGTTCTTGGCAATTGGGAAGAATCCTGTGTTGATTTGCACCTAGTTCTTTGAAGAAAGCAGGTGGGAGTTGGGACAAATGAGCTGTAACCTTCAGTTGTTGACATCAGTAGAACAGAGAAGCTTCTAACAAGAGTGATGGAAGTCCCAGATGGCTGAGAGGAATTGCAGAGGTGGGGGGTGGGGGGAGAGGGTCCATACACTGCTTGACTTCTAGGACGCTGGATTTCCTACATTTCCAGACTTCATCAGGAGTCATTCTGGATTGATTCCAGTTGGAGAATGCTGCTGTCACTTACTCTGAAAGCTGAATAACAGTAATAACATGAAACACTTTAAAAGCAGAAATACTTATATATTACTGATGTCTCCACGGTTGAGCTAAGATCCCCAAACCTCTACAACTAGCCATGCAAGATTTGGTAAATATAACAGGAAAATACATGATTTGTGAGAGCTTGTTGCATTTTAATGATCCCCATGGTGTATTTGGTACTGAGCCCAGGAACCTCAGTAACTGAGAGGAGACTGAAATAAACACGGAAGAATTCAAAGTCAAAATCAACCCTCAACTTTTGGTTGAGTTTTAATGGGTCCCACTGCTAGCTGTAAACAGCAAAGACTCCCCAGGGGGTGATGAGAGAAGAAAATGGTCATCACCGATAACAGGTAGGCAGGGGAAATGTGCAGGTGGCTCTGATGCCACATTAACCCTTGATGTGTTTTATCAGGCCAAATGTCCAAGCTCAGTCACTGAGTTTCTGGGCAGGGGTTTGTTTCCTCTACATTTTCCASGTCTTCCTGTGGACACTGTGTGGGTGGGGGTGTGCAGTGCTCAGTGCAGGACAATGATATGACACCTTTCAGGGTGTCTGTGTTGGTGGCAGAGACAACAGCCATACCAAGAGCATGAAGACCTGGTGGTGCCTGTGAGCCCAGGCAGTGCGTTTGTCTCTGTCCAGCAGAGCCTTTCCTATGCTGGTTCCTACCTGCAGCTGTGTCCATGCACCCTGTAGACACCCAAACAGCCTTCCCTCTCACAGCCCTGGAGCCCCGGAAACCCCTGGAGGCTGCTCAGGGGACAGAAAGTGTCCCATCTCCAGCTGGGTCCCTGCTCCTGAGCTGGGCCTGCCTCCTGGGACTGTGGGAGCCCCTGGCAAYRTGGCAGGCGCTGCAGAGAGACAGCTSTGCCCAGGAGCAGCTCCTCTTAAAGGAGCACCAAGACTCAGGGCACTGCCCGCAGGCACCAGGCTGGGATGAGTCGCTCCTAAGTGAAGGACAGTTGSGAATGGGAGGACAAATGAGAGCCCCTTGCAGGGAGAAACCTCCCCAGCCCTTAACACGGTAAGTGTCTGTCTGCAGGACAAGAGTGCTGTGGTTCCTGGAGGGCTCTTTTGAACCTGGCACCTTCCCCAGCTGATGGGATCTCTCAGGGTGTCTCTCCCAGCTTCTCCTGTTGGAGATGGGGGTGCTTTAGAGCAGGGATTCCCAGTCAGACCATCAGAGGGACAGGGCATCACAGCTGCCTTCTCCCCAGGACGGTGCAGGGATGTGAAGCCAGCGAGTGCCCCCAGTTGTGCATGGGCTGTAATGCCGAGCAGTGTCCCTGCGCCCCAGGGTGCTGTGTGCCCAGGGCAGTGAATGCCACCTGCGAGGTCAGCACCCACCCTGCCTGGGAAATCCCCATGTGGTGTGGGGAGAAGGTCTGGGTGTGAGGAGAGACCCCCATCATGGCAGGTTCATATTGTGAAGGGGCCTTTTGAAGAGGACAGTGCAGGCAGTTAATGTTAAAGATGAGGAGATTCCCTGTGTCCTTCTGGTTGAAAGGACACAGAGGCAGAGCACACTCAGCCACCACAAACCAGAGGTCAGACAAGGGAGCTGAACAAGGTAAAGGAGGGAGGCCATGTGGGGAGTACTATGAAAAGCAGAATGCGTTTTACTCACAGAAGTCCTTTCTAAC